CTGCTATTGTGTTATTGTTGCTTTGAGGACATTTCAAGATGAGGAAAAATATCTATTTTTCAAAAATAAAAATAAAAATAAATCAGGTTTGTGCTAATATTTCAAACTCAAAAGTTTTTTATTTTATGTTTATAGTCGCTTTCTTTAGTTATTCCTTAAATATTTCCAATTTTTTCTTCATTTTTTGCAGTACTCAAGACAGAAACCAAGTGTAGGCAAGTGCCCTACCACTAAGCCTCATCCTCACACTCCTTCAACTTTTTTTATTTTTATGTGCATTGGTGTTTTGCCTGCATGTATGCCTGTGTGAGGGTGTCGGATCCCTGGAGCTGGAGTTACAGACAGCCTAGCTGCCATGTGGGCGCTGGGAATTGAACCTTTGTCCTCTGAAAGAGCAGTCAGTGCTTTTAACTGCTGAGCTATCTCTCCAGCCTCTCTTTTAACTTTTTAAAAAGATTTATGTTACATTTATTAATGGGGGGTAAGACAGCATATGTGGAAATCATAGTCCTCCTTTCACCATGTGTCCTGAGGATTAAACTCAGGTTGTCAGGCTTGGCAGCAAGCACCTTTACTCACTGAACCATCTGACTGGGCATCTTTTCTTTAGACATAACTCTGCATTGTAGAAACTTCAGTTCATGAGCATCTCACCTCATTGTGAGCTTAGTTTTGTGGGATTTGCTGGTGCTGGTGTTGTTTAATTTTAGGCTTTCTCTGTGCACTGACTATTTTGCAGTGCTTTCTAGGGTTGACACAAAGCCCTTCACTCCAGCTGCCAGCAACCCCTGAATATGGCATAAGACCTTATCTTTAGGTCTGATAGACATGTGTCTACCATGGCTCTGCCATACTGACAAATCAAATTCCATCCCCAGCCCTGATCCTGGAACAACTGGGACAAGTGGAATTTTTTAAAAGCTGCTATCCCTAGTGTTCCCCACTTCCCCACTGGCCAGTATCTACCATATTTGCCCACCTAATTCTGTTCCTCTGATGATGCGGTAATGTTCACCTGTTGCTCAGCCCTCCAGGCCAAGCTGGTTGAGAAGGAGCTGCTAATCTTCAGTTAGTTCCAACCCTGGGACTCTGAAGAAAGGACATGATGTGATCAGTCTATTTCATGAGACAAAGCCAACCACATATGTCCTACCTCCAGCTCTGTCTTTCTAGTTAATGGAACAATACCAAGAGCCCATCAATAGGTCACTTGTCAAGCAACTTCAAATGCAAATATTCAACTCTTTCTGTATCTTCATCCGTATTATCACAAAAGGTTCTGGGAAACTGTACAGAGCTTAGATAACATTTTAAATGCCAGTTTTATTGTGGTCTAATCCACATACAACATTTCACTCATCTGCAGTATACAATTTAATGGTCTGTAACATATTCACAGATGTATGATCATCACTGTGACCAATTTCAGAACATTCCCATTCCCCCCAAAGAACCTTGTGTCCGCTATCACTCTCTCCTCATCCCACCCATCCCCAGGGATTCACCAGTTGACTTTTTGTTTGTGATATGAGAGAGAGCCTTATTATGTAGCCTAAGATATCCTGGAACTCATTAGCATCCTGCTTCAACTTCAAGTTCATGCTCTATCATAGACAGGTCCAACTGACTTTCATTCCAGCTCAAAACCTAATGTAAAATCTAGACTTGGGTCTAAACTAAAATTAATCTACAGTTTCACAGATGAGGAAGCCAAGGCTCAGGGATTTCATTAATGTTCAGACTGAAACTTGTCCCTATGACTTCAGAATCTGTTTCCTTAAGTATATATTATGAAGATCACATGATCCATCCTTTCATATCATGTTTTTCCCTATCTGAAACCAAGTCTTGCTTTGTGTCCATGCTGGTCTCAAATTCATGGTACTCTCCCTACCTCTTCCTCTCAAGGGTCAGAATTGTGTGTATCATTGTGCCCAGATACCCATTCAAATTCTGAACAAAATGAAAAAGGTCAGACATAGTGGAACATATTTGTATATGTGCAGCTGAAGCGAGCACAAGTGAAACATATTTTTAATCCTAGAACTGAAGAGAGACACTGAGGCAATAGGATGGCTGCAAGTTCAAGGGCATCCTGGATTACATAGTAAGTTCCAAGCTAGGCAGGGCTACAGAATGGGACTACAGAGAGAGGGGTAGGGGGATACAGAGAAAAGCTGATAAAGTGGGATTGTAGCTCAGTGGTGGTATGCATGCTTAGCATGTGCAAGACCCTGGGTTCCATCCTCAGCACCAAAAAAATGTATAGTTCTAAAATAAGATTTTTGTACTATTATTCCTAGTACATTAATATAATAACTTCTATAAGTCACCAATTATGGTGACAGATGATGTCTGTGAAAATATTGGCAGAGGAATCCTGATGTCATGTCAGACAAGCTCAGCCATCAGTAAACACAGTATCCCTGTGCTGAGGTCTTCCTGTATAAGTTACTAAATTGGATTGACAAGGCTTCTGTCTCCCTCTAGTGGGAGGAAAGAAACAGCAGAATAGAGAAGGTTTTGATGTGATTAAAACAAGGCAATGTGATTTAGGATAAAGACTTCGAATTAAAGAACTTTTGTTTATACTTAGATCTGAATGACAAAAAGAAATCAGCTGTGAAGATTAGGAGACAGCCTTCTCAGCAAAGGAGACAACCAACAGAGGCAAAGGCCTTAAGGCACAGAAGTGCTAATGGGTTTGAGGGGAAAAAAGGTTCAGTGTAGAATGGCTGGGCTTTTAGGGAAGATGACATGAAATTAGAGCAACATAAGGCTGAGGATAGAGTTTATACCTGAAGCAACAGAAAATCAGTGGAGTACATTAAGCAAAGTGGAAACAGATTTACCTGATCACACTGGTTGACAGTAAACAATGGATAACTAAAAGCCTGCAGTCTCAATGTGAATCCACCCCTAACAGTCAAGGCAAGATGAAGGTACCCAAGACATCTTGCACTGAACCTGGCTAGATCAGAATTGAACGCTGAACTGCTTCTCTCACAACTCTGATGTCCTTTTCCCTTGTTCTCCCAGTAGTAGATACATGGCCCAGGTACCAGGGTGTGAAGCCAAAACCCCAGCAGTGACTAGATAGATGCCTCTTCCTCTCTCCATGATGTTGGCCACAGCTCCATACCTAAAATCCTCATGCTGTTCTATGACTATCTCTGCAGATTGGCTCTTTCCATCACTAAATACTGAACAAAATGTTTTTTGTATTACCAAATAGCCACCTTTGTTTGACACTGGTGTGCTTATAAAAAGGAAACACAAGGTGACCATGTGACAAAAGTAGCAGAATCTGAGATGCAGGTCCAACCAGAGAGCACTAAGAATTGCTGGGACCTACTACACAATGGGAAAGGGGTCTGGAATGGGTTATCTCTTATGAGGAACCCACTCTGCCCATACTTATCTCAGATCTCTGCCCTCCAAAACAGGGGGACAGGAAATCTCTGTTGCCTAAGCCCCCAACGAGTGGTACTTTGTTGCTGCAGTCACAGGAAATCCAGGCCCCATGTTAGTTGACTTGGCCCCTTGCACCACTCTGTTGTATCAGTCATAGACAGAGGAAACCTCAAAGTTGTATGCAACAGCTACTTCCTATATAATGCATCAGAATTAAAGACATAGAAATAGCACCAAAAAAACTCTGTTACTGGCAATTCTGCCCATACATCCACTAAGTGAGGACAGGGTGCATGCTTACAGGTCTTCTTTATTTCATATTTTGTGCATAATTTAATCCTCTGGCCTTTTTATACCATACTACAGAAAATGTTCCATGCAACAAAATGTTCAAAATGCTGGCTATGCAGGCCTATGTCATCAGATATATGGCCTATTTCATCACAGCCTTTGGTAGTGACAAATGATGGTGGCCATGAGAGCCACTCCAATGAAATAGTCACTGTGAGGACGAAGTTGTCATATAAAGAGGGCTGAGAATGTTTCCAAAGTGCTTGTTCCATCTCACCAAACAGCCTCCCTTGAAAAGGGAAACACTTCAAGGCCTCACCATGCCTGAGGGTATCACACACAGTGCTGCAACTGTTCCTATTTTGACATCATCTCTACCTACAATCTACACCTTATCCTTTGTTACTGCAGTGGGTGAAGTACTCTGCACTGTCTTGCTGTTTCTCTGGATTTCTCTTGGTCATGGGTCAACAGGAAGAGAGCATAAGTAACAGTAATAGGACTTCTGGGGAAGAATATGCTTCTGGATGTCTGGATCCAGAAGCTGTCTGCTAGGGGCCATAGCTCATAAAAGCAAATAGGCTAATTCCCTTGTGTGAGGGGTTAAGGACCAACAACTAGTTTTTCCAGGTCTAATTAAATAATTCCAGAAAAGAAAGAAGCATGTCCCACGTCAGGGAAGATGGTAGGATCCCAGATCCTTGGTATTTAATGTGTGGTTAATTGCCCATTATACTTCAGGGTAAGGAGGTGTCAAGAGCTCCCACCTTCTGAGAAAGGTACTAGATCCCAGCCACTGCCTGGGGCCACCCTCAGATTTTGGCTTGACCAGTCTATGGAGCCCAAGCCAGAATGTTTTCAAGCTTTCAAGGCTTCTAGGTGATCCTGCTGTGCAACCTGGGTCAACACCAGCTTTCTGCACCACTTTCAGGATAAAGTACTGGTCAGAAATGTACCTATGTATCTCTATTTATCCAAGAAGCATGAAGCCCATACAGCTACTTCAAGAAGTAAACAGCTCTTTCCTGCTACAGCCAACCTGCCTTTCTCAGTCACACCCACTGGCCCTGCTAGGAGCATAGCACCTAGAAGGAAGGGACCTCCTCCAAATTCTGAAGCCTAGCAGTCACCATCACCCTAGAGTCCTGCCTTTGGGCTGCACTCAGGTTCTGATGATATCCCTACTCTGGGTTGTGTAAGCCCAAACCCTCAGAACTTGAGAACATGACTTTATTTGGGAAAAGGGTCATGGAAGGTGTAGTGAGGCAAGAGTCTTGAGCTTCTTAATTACCAGATAGACCCCACATCTACAATTTGGTGTAGAGGAAGAGACCATTAGGCCCTAGAACCAGAGATTGGAGTGATGGGTCTATAAGCCAAGCAACACCAAGGACTGCCAAAAACTACCAAGAGCTGAGAGAAAGCCTGGAATTGATTCTCAGAAGAAATTTAATATCTGACTTCCAGACATAAAAGAGTGATTCTTTTGCTGCTTCAAGCCTCTGGGAATTTTTAGGACAGCTATAGGAAAGTCATTGGCCACCACAAAACTGAACTAAATCAAACCAAATCAATAGCAGTCCTGAAGGAAAATTAAATTAGGTATTTAAATGAAGGGTTCATGAGCAAAGAACATGTCTATTCCTTTAACATTTCCCCAAAGATCTGTCTGATAGATACCTGGGAATTAGGAAACAGGAAATTCTGAGGAAGCCCCCAGCTCAGGCTTACTTTTTAAATCCTAATTCTACTCAACCTTCTCTCTCTTAATCGGCAAGAAGCCCTGTGAATAAAGCCCAGGCAGGGATTGATTTACAGATCCCACTCAGAAACATGAAAGCTTGCAGGAGGGCAGAAAGGGTTTCAGGCCTGAGGAGTCAGCAAGGCACATCTATTGCTTTCTCAACTCCAACTTCCTTTACTTTACTAGAATAGCAAGGCTAATACCAATGACTGTAAGGTCCCAGAAAATGGCTAGAACCTTGTTCACAATCTGCCAGTCACTACTAAATGGTTCCCAAGACAGAATTATCTGGGCTAGTGGAGAACATGCCATCACAAACTTCTCGAGTGTGATGAACTATGGAAACCAACATTCACACAAGACAACAATGTGCTTTCCAAAGAGAAGAGCACACTGGGGCTAGAACAAGAAAAGCATGTATGTGAAATACCCTTATGTCAGATCACAAAGCAGTCATAACTCCAAAGCCAAAATATGGGAGTAAAGAATGGACATGAGTACATAAACAGCTTCCAGGACCCAAAACGGTAACACAATCAAAGTGGAACAAGTTGTGCACTTTCTGTGATAGACAAGAGCTAATCTGACTCATGATCAAAGAGCACCCCAGGAACAAATGGCAATGATGAGACAGAAAAGTGGGTAGAAAATATGCAAATCCAAGTTACATCAGCAGAATTAAAAAGGGCCCACATACACCAGAAAAAGACACTTAAGCACACTCTTTAGTAAAGAACAACATGTCTAGCAGATGGCAGAAACACAAAGGTGGACCAACCTCCTCCACGGCAAGGCTCCAATGTTATGTCTAAGCATATGTCTTAATGGTACACATAGATCAGTGTACAAGTACTTTCACTACACCATTAGTTACGGTAGCAAAAAGATGGAATACTTCCCAAATGTCCATCAGAGGCAACACATGTTATGGCCCTAAGTGGCACATACCCTGGGAGGGCAGGCTGCAGCTCAGGGCAATAAGGCACCAGCTGGAGGAAGAGCTGCACCCAGCCCTGCTTGGAGAAGGGATGCTCCCTGAGAGCCCCTGACCTCCATTCTAGACTTCCTAGGAGAATACAGGAGGGAGGAAGAAGCTACAGAGGCAACTGACTCAGGCACACAGAAGAAAAGGGGAAAACACAGCCCTGACTGGGGCTGTCTATCCCAGTGCAGAACTAGCAGGCCTAAGGGCTAAAGCAAGGATCCAACTAGGTCCTGGGGCCAGCTCTTTGACAACAAGCCCTTAATTGTGGACTATGCAGGTGAAACAGGAAAGCACAGGTTGCATAGTTCAGGACATGGTATTACAAGTGGCCTTACATCTGCTGTTCCTACTCTATGCACTCCATGACATGTATCTGTAGAGTGTCCATATCAGGTGCCTGATACTGGCACTTGGGACAACAGAAGTCAGGTGGTTCCTCAGGAGGACTTCTCCGCTGGTTGGGCAAAGCCAGATGAAAGGAGTGGTGAGCTGAGAAAAAAAAAAAACAGAGGCCAGCTGGATAGGCTTCATGAACAGACTGGGTAGACCTCAAAAGGGAAGGAGAGGCTAACAAGGTACTAAGACCTACAGATACCACCATATTTGACTATGTGTGGCTGGGAGCCACCTCTACCAGCACATTCCTCCTTTTGCCTCAGGGTGCTGTAGGCTACTGCTGGGGATGGCCAACAAGAGCTCCCCAAATCAGAGCAGCAGGGAGGCTAATGCATGCTTTCCCTCAGCACAATATTCTGCCCTCCCTATCCATCTCCACCCATCATCTACCACCTGTTCACTCACCTGGAGCAGGGAGTAAAGGGGGCTGGGAAGTCTCTACATGTCGCTTCCTCATATCCTCAATCCTTTGAAAACAAAAACCATTCAATCAATGCCTGCAGGAATTTTTATGAATAAACATCTTCATTGAGATATAATTCATGTACCATACAATTCACCAATTTAAATTGTATCATTCAGTGTTTTTTTACTATATTCAGCATATCCAATCATTTGTATAATTTTAGAATATTTCATCATCTTCCAAAGGAAACTTTGTACTTACTAGCAATTACTCCTGGGTTCCCCCTACATCAGTTTTCTCAGAACCTTACTACAAACTACCACATACCTGGTAGCTTAAAAATAACAAAAATGTGCACGATGTAGGAGGCCAGGTGCCCTAAATCAACGTATCAGAGGACTGGGCAGAAGTACCATACTCTCCCCTAGATGATAATAGTTAACAGATTCGTTGGAATTTCTTGGCTTATAGCTGAATCCCAGACTCTTTGTCTTGGCCTTCTTGTGTCTGCCTTATGTATCTTAATGTGGTGCTTCTATAAAGACCACAGTCAATTTATTAACCTGATAGGACCTTATGTTAACTAGCTATATATACAAAGATACTATTTCCAAATGAGGTCAGATTATGAGGTTTTAGGTAGACATGAATTTGGGAGAACTCTATTTGTACTGGTTAGTTTTTTTTGTTTGTGGGTTTTTTTTTGTCAGTTTGACACAAGCTGGAGTCATCTGATAAAAGGGAACCTCAATTGAGTAAACGTCCCTATTAGATTGACCTGGAGGCAAGCCTGTGGGGCATTTTCTTCATTGATCATTGATGTGAGAGTGCCTAGTTCACTAGGGATGGTGCCATCCCTTAGGTAACCACCTGGGCTATATAAGAAAACAAGCTGAGCAAGCCATGGAGAACAAGCCAAAAAGCAGTTCCTCCATGATTTCTGCTTTAGTTCCCATCTCTAGTTCCTGCCCTGACTTCCCTAATCATAGTAAAACTGTAGGATGAATAAACCCTTTCCTCCCCAAGTTGTTTTTGGTCATGGTGTTTATCACAACAGTAACAAAACTAAGACAGACATTAGTACCAGGCTCTTGGGGATTTGCTAAGACAGACCTGGCCATATTGTTTTGTGAAAGACTGTGGAAGGACTTTGGAATTTTGGACTGGAAATGCCATCATCAAGTAGTTAGAGCTTAATGGGCTGTTCTGTGGGAGCCAAGGAAGATAAGAATGCTGACAGCAATGAAAATGATGAAGGCCTGGCTTGTAAAGTTTCAGAGGGAAGCAAAGCAAAGATTCTATCACAGTCATTCATGTGGTATTTTGAAATAAGAATCTGTAGTTCTGGTCAGCTGGAGCTGAAGAATCAGGTATGATGAACAAGAGACCAGCAGCATTGAAGTAAAACCTTTGCTTTACTGGCACAATTGATGCTGGTTACCTGAAGCCAAGAAAGTGATTAAGAGACCAGCATCACTGAGGTGAAATCTTCTAGACTCTAGAATCCAGTGAGTATATCCTCAGGGTCAGTACACAGAAGCTCTGGTTCAGAGTGGGTCAATGTTGCATCTCATGCTAGCAGTCAAATTGGGCTATATGAAGGGGTTATGGAAAGCAGCTGAGGTTTGGTACTATTTGAGAGGTCAGGAGAAGTTATTTGTGAAGGTGCACCCTCAGTGCAGTGGAGATGCCAGTACCATGGGACAACCACCAAGAATAACAGTAGCTGTGGAGAGAAGCCAGCCTGAGCTTATGAGACAAAGTATGTATGTGTGCTATGAATGGCAAAGCCAGAGAAGTATAGCTGCCTAAGCCCTTTGGAGCCCAGAGGATTATTAGTGGATACCCGACATCAAGCACTGCATTTTTTTACACTGTTGGATTTTGGTTTTGCTTTGATTTGATTGTGACTGTGCCATGGTTCTTCGCTCTTAGAGTAAAAAAATATGTACCTTATTATTTTATAGGAGCCCATTGATGGACTTTAGACATTTAAAGAGACATTTTTTTAAGAGTGATGGAATGTTTTAAAGACTGTGGGACTTTCAATATTATGGGAGGAGGGTTTGTTTGTTTTTTGTTTTTTGAGACAGGGTTTCTCTGTGTAACATCCTTGACTGTCCTGGAACTCACTCTGTAGACCAGAATGGCCTGAAACTCAGAAATCCATCTGCCTCCCAAGTACTGGGATTAAAGGAATGTGTCACCACTGCCCAGCCTAAATTTATGTTTTATATTGTCATCTTAACATGAATTGGAGAACAAATAAGAAAGGAAAGGTTTTGGTGTATTTGTATGTCAAGTTGACAAGGGGTTAACTGTGCTGGTTGGCTTTTATCAACACAAACTGGAAAGAATCTCAATTGGCTTGTAGGTAAGTTTGTGGGGCTTTTTTTGATTAATAATTGATGTGAGATACCCAGCTACAGTGGGTGGTGCAACCCCTGGACTGGTGGGCTAGGTTGTGTAAGAAAGCAAGCTGAGCAAGGCAGTAAGCATCATTCCCCTCTGGCTGCTGCTTCAGTTTCTGCCTCCAGATTCCAGCCCTGACTTCTTTCCATGACAGATTATAAACTATAATCTGACCTTTCCTCCCTTAGTTATTTTAGTCATCATGTTTATTACAGTAATGGAAACCAAACTAAGACACTAGGAAACCTAACATCCCCTCAAAAACTCCAGCCTTAGATACCTATCAATACATGCATTTCTGTGAAGTTTCTAGTTGGACCAGTGGTAAAGGTCACTGTTGGAAGGACAGAACATGGGGAGAGCAGCAGGAGGTAAAGGGAACTTAATGCAAACACCAAGAGTCATCAATCTCCTGCAGTTACTACTGGTTGTTGCTAGTATATGACTGCTCTGTGTGTGGCTGTGTTCTTGGCTACACTCTTAGAGGCCCACCTGGCTGACTCATGGCAGCCAACCTTCAGCTTGCTGTACTCGCGCTGCAGCTGCTCCAGCTGTTCCTGCAAAAGCTCCTTCTTCTCCACCAGCTTTTCCCGGGCATGCCTCTCAGCTTGGAAGTCAGCCTTGTAGATATCCGCCTGGCAAATAGAACAAAGGTATGCCAACTATCCATCAGCTGCCCATCAGGCATTCTATGCCATGCCCCACAGGAACAGAATCTTGTCATGTCCCCCAGAGCCACATGATAGTACACTAGGAACAGATATGAAAGCCTGTGATCCCAAGGGCACCAAGAGGTCAAGGACCAATGCAAAGGACTCAAGAAGACTAAAAGAGGCCACCAAAGAATGATGCCAAAGAGGTGCACCAGACCCCACTGCCTGGGAGGGTGGGTCACTCATGTGGCAGGCAGGTTGGAGCAGAGCTCTCACCTGGGCCTTTAGGACTGGCACAGTCTCCATCACAATCTTGTGTTGCTCAGCTTCTTCTTTCAGTTTATCAATCAATTCCTGTTTGGCAACCAGGGCCTCCTCAGCTTGCTGGAGCTGTTGCCTCAAATCTTCCAGCTGCATTCCCTAGAGAAAGATAAAGGGTGCTCACAGAGTCTCTTGGCCCACAGTGGGGCCAAACTACCTCCCTGGCTGGCCACTATTCTGAGAAGGAAAATCTAGAGCAAAAAAATCTAGAGCAAATCCTGTCTGAAATTCAGGTCAAATGACAAAATCTCAATGTGTGCAGGGAGAAGGCTTCATCCTGCTATGGCCCCACAGTACATAAATGTTGAGGTCTTTCTTAGGATGCACAAAGATCTTAGGACTGATAGGAACTCTGAGGATATAAAAGGCACTGCCTCTTATTTTGCATCATCTCCTTCAGAGAATTCCCAGCTAGGGAGTCTTACTCTAACTCCTCAAGGACAGGAGCCACCCTCTCTTTGAGGCTTCCCACTCCACAGTAAGTACTATGCACTAACCCTCCACAGACTGAAAGCCCACCACACATCAGACAAGGCTGCAACCCATGAGTCCTTCAACTCTGCCACTTGGTCAAAGGTCTGCGTATCACACACACACACACTATACACATGCACCCATGTTCTCAACACAGAATTCATTCCAGAGATTAAGCAGCCATTTTAAAAGATTTTCTTGATCATGGTGGATGATTTTTTGATGCGTTTTTGGATTCAGTTTGGCAGTATTTTATTGAGTATTTTTGCAACAATGTTCATGAGGGAGATTGGTCTGTAATTCTCTTTTGTTGTTGGGTCTTTGTGTGGTTTGAGTATCAGGGTGACTATGACCTCATAGAAAGAATTTGGCACTGTGCAGTAGTGGCGCATGCCTTTAATCCCAGCAGTCAGGAGGCAGAGGCAGGCGGATCTCTGTGAGTTCGAGACCAGCCTGGTCTACAAGAGCTAGTTCCAGGACAGCCTCCAAAGCCACAGAGAAACCCTATCTCGAAAAACCAAAAAAAAAAAAGGAAAAAAAAGAATTTGGCAATGTTCCTTCTGTTTCTATTTTGTGTAATAACCCAGAGAGAGAAAGACAATATGTTATGTACTCACTCATAAGTGGACATTAGCTATAAAATATAGGATAGCTATGCTACAATCTACAGACACAGAGAGACTAAGTAACAAGATTTCATAGAGGGACACCCAGATGTCCCTGGTAAGGGGAAATAGAAGAGATTTTGTGAGTGGACTGAGGACAGGTGGGGATGGGAATATGAGTGATCAGGTTGAAGGGGACATGGAAGGAGAGAGTGCTGGGGGTGCATTTCAGGGTCGGGCAGAAGCCTGGCACAGGGTAATTTCCCAGGAGTCTATGGGGAATACTCCAGTTTAGACTCCTAGCAATAGCCAATAAGTAGCCTGAAATGGCCTCTCCTGTGACCAGATTGGTGCCTAGCTCAATTGTCATCATAGAGGCACCATCCACCAAGTGATAGGGCCAAATGCAGAGACCCACAGCCAAACATTAGGCAGAGTATATGGGACTCCTGCAGAAGAGGAGAAATGAGCCAGAAAGGTCAAGGACACTATGGGAAGGCTCACAGAATCAACTAGCCTTGGCTCATAGGGGCTCACAGAAACTGAACCAACAACCAGGGAGCCTGACTTAGGCACTCTGAATATATGTTACAGTTGTGTAGCTTGGTCCTTTTGTGGGACTCCTAGCAGTGGCAACAAAGGCTGTCTCTGACTCTTTTACTGACTTTTGGGGCCCTACTCCTCATACTGGGTCACTTTGCCTAGCCTTAATACATGGGGAAGTGCTTAGTCTAACTGCAACTTGATATGCCATTCTTTGTTGAAACTCCTTGGGAGACCTGCCCTTTCCTAGATAGAGATAGAAGAGGAGGGGATTGGCGGGGATGGGAGTTGGGGGGGCTGGGAGGGGAGAATGAGGGGAGGCTGCAGCTAGGATGTAAAATAAATAGAAGAATAGAAAAATAAAAAAAATTAAAGATTTTCTTAATTTATGTATGTGTGTATTGTGTGTGTGTGTGTGTGTGTGTGTGTGTGTGTGTGTGTGTGTGTA